AATACAAATTTATTGGGTATACTTATTAAAAATATATATAGAATAGGGACAAAGATAAGGCAGGTATAAAAATATAACACAGTATTGCACCGCAATTATGGTCAAAAATTAAAAGCAGTGGAAATACCAAAGTATATATACAATATAAAAATACAGCCAACAGGAAAAGTCCCAATAAAAGCCCAGTGTGAAGCAAACGCATTTCAGCCCTCAATGGGGCCTTCCTCAGTGCTGTGTTCCTGGAGCAACTTCAGGGTTTAAATAACCCCCTTGATGTGTCTAAATCTATTCAGCTGTGGTTCAAAAATGCCGGCGATCAAATCACTTCCGGTTTCGGCAATACACACGTGACTTCCGGTTCGGCATGGTCACGTGTTACTTTTGCGTTCCACCATGCGTTCCATCTCTAGGCATGGTGGAAATAGTGTCAGGGGAGTCCATATCAGCAAAGGGCATTTGCCCATACATACAAATAAAACAAAAATAGAATTAAGAATAAAACCAATTGTATAATAAATCCTAAGCTGTGAATAAGATAGAAAAATATTAATAAAATATAAAACTTCAAAAAAATATGTATATAGAAAACAGGATGGATATTTGAGGGGAAAATGTCCAATAAAAGATAATAAATAATAAAATATGAATATAAAAATATAAAATATATTCTTAAATATTTTAAAATTAATTCTCTTCTCATTTCAATTATAGATAAAAATTATTATAAAAAATGAACTAACTCAAAATCTATATTAAGACCTTTAGGGCACATGGTATCTAAAGTAAAAATCCATTTGCCCTCTAGTTTACTGAGTTCTCGGACATTATCCTCCCCTCGCCAATCCATCAGCTTCTTCCCAATCACCATGAAACTTATGATGTTCAAGAAAATGTGCTGATACACTGTTTGGTGTATCCCCTCCGTATGTTCCCCATGTGTTCCATAATGCGGGTTTTAAAACTCCTAGTGGTCATACCCACATATTGGAGTCCACAGGGGCACCAGAGGAGATACACCACAGGTCTTAATATAGATAGAGACTACTGTTGCAAAAGACTAGTGTTTCCCTAGAGATTTCATACGAGATCTGGGAAGTTTAAAGCAGCTGTACTATGCAATTGGTTTACAATTAAAAAAGATAACTCACAACCCAAACAATTCAAGTCTCCACCCTTGCTTGGCTATCGCAGAAATACCAACCTCAAAGATATTTTCCGGTCCATAATGATCAATATTCCCACATTAAATCATCAGAGAAACAAACAAATGCTGGGTGCTGCAGATGTCTGGGTTGTACTGCCTGCAATTCGAAGGTCCCAGGAAAGAAATTTTCACATCCCAGGACTGGAAAGATTTACTGAATTAAACATTGTATCACACTTACTACTACACATGTGGTATACAGAATTGTTTGCCGTGTGGTTTGATATATATATAGGAAAGACCTCCAATGACTTAAGGGAAAGAATGAGGGGTCATAGGTCTTCCATACGAACAGCCTTGGCCACGGGATCATCTGCAATACTGGTGGCACAACATTTTCTGGACATGAAACATGCTGTTTCCTTGCAACGCTTCATAGGTATTGACCATATTCCACTGTCCTCTAGGGGAGGTGACTGGGATTTGGATCTCCTCAAACGTGAGGCTTTCTGGATTTTTACATTGGGTACTCTCTCCCCATATGGTTTAAATTAAATTAATCCTTTACATTACTTTCTCCATAGGAGATAATTTAGGCAATATTCCCCTACATCCATAGTCACTATCTGTATTTCTTCAATACTTCCATTTGGCTGCTTCTCAATGTTTTCTTCCTCAGAGCTATTTCTGTATTGTTCTGTCCCAGTAGACCATGTTAGTCACATATTCGCAAGTAGACAGTTGTCACACATTTTGTTAAATTCAGGAATGAAATTAGAACAATATTGCATATTGCATGTATTATAATAAATGCTATCCTCCTGTTATTATTATGAAAAAAAAGTAGCACATAAACATAAGGTTTAGGTATATACAATGGGCATAATCTTAGGTATCCTGATAAGTTGCTTAACACTTTTTTTTATTCAATATTGTTTTAGCCATATTTTTCACCACTTTTATTTTTGTTCTTTCTAGTTTCATTCTTTCTTTTTTCTTGGTTTTTATTTTCTATTTCCCATTCTTTACTTCACTTTTTCCACTTTTATGGTTCAGGTCTTTTAGTTAGGTTATCTCTAAGTCACTTCTTACAATATCTATCTGTAACACTTTCTCTTTGAATCCTTTTTATGGGACATTAACAATCACAGCACAGCACAGGATATCATGCTCCTCTCCTTGGTATGACATCATTTTACAAACCTTGCTTCACACCACTGGCTCTCTGCACTTCATAGGTACTCTCAGAACTTAATTTATTGCTTACGTTTCTGCATTTTTGGCATTTATACATTGGTGTGTGTACACAATGCTCTGAGGAGGAGTACTGAGTAATTGGGCTTGCAAGTTATTGTGGTTTACTATTGTCAAATCTATACAAAATAGTTATTTGATATGCCTGATACCAGATTTTCCTTAGTCCAGTATGCTTAAATACTGTGTAAATATTGTATATATAACTTTTTCACCTTTTGGTTGTGGTAATGGTTTAGACGATCTTCCCCATGATTGCCTTTTCCTGAATATTTAGTTACAGGATTCTTATGCACTTCTTTGTAAGCACTGGGGTGCCTGCAATTTTACTGTATGTGATTTTTCACTTTTGTGTGACACTAGATTGTGTATTCAGGATTAGAGTTGAGTGGACACCTGGATGTTCGGGGCCGGTGGGTTCGGCCGAACTTTGCAAAAAAGTCCAGGTTCTGGCATGAACTTGACCCCAAACCCGAACCCCATTGAAGTCAATGGTGACCCAAACTTTTGGCCACAAAAATGCCTCTAAAAAAACTCCTGGAAAGGGCTAGAGAGCTGCAAAAGGAAGTAAAATGGGGGTAAGAGTAGGACAAGTGCCCTGCAAACAAATGTGGATAGCGAAATCACTTAAAATAACATAAAAATAAAAAATACAGCTGAGCCATAAAATAGCACTAGATGAAATCTTTGATTTTAGCTTTGGAAGAACATAAATCAAAATCTAAAGCATGCGTGTCAGGAGAATCAACAGAATTATCCATTTGAGAGAGGGTTGGAGTGCAGGCAGTGGCGTACATACCAGGGTCGCGGCTGCGACCGGGCCTGGCCCACCAGGCAGCCCGGCCGCCCCTGCGACCCGGTATGTACCCACAGGGCCAGCCTCTTCCCCTGGGGGGCCCAGGAGCCGACCACCCCAGGGCCCCCCGAGGCTGGCCCTGCTGACACCCGGCAGACGGGCGCGCGAGGGAGCACTCAGTGCTTCCTCTGCAGCTCCCTCGCGCACCGTACTGATACCGGAGCTGGAAGATGACGTCATCTTCCGGCTCCGGCATCCCTACGCGGCGCGCGAGGGAGCTGAAGAGGAAGCACTGAGTGCTCCCTCGCGCGCCCGCCTGCCCGACCGGCCACCCGCCCAGGAGCCCAGCAGCACCACTGGACCCCAGGGAATCCCCCCAGCACTCCAAAAGGTAAGGAGGCTGGGGGGATTACATTTAAAAAAAAAAACATGTGTTAGTGTTAGAGTGTTAGTGAGTGTTAGTGTGTGTGAGCGTTAGAGTGAGTGTTAGTGTGTGTGTCTGCTAGTGAGTGTTAGTGTGTGTGAGTGTTAGAGTGAGTGTTAGTGTGTGTGAGTGTTAGAGTGAATGTTAGTGTGTGTGAGTGTTAGAGTGAGTGTTAGAATGAGTGTTAGTGTGTGTGTCTGCTAGTGAGTGTTAGTGTGAGTGTTAGTGTGTGTGAGTGTTAGTGTGTGTGTCTGCTAGTGAGTGTCAGTGAGTGTGTGTGTCTTACTGAGTGTGTGTGTTAGTGAGTATGTTTGATGTCTGTTAGTGAGTGCGTGTTTGTCAATGAGAGTGTATGTTTTGTAAGTGAGTGTGTATGTATGTCTGTCGCTGAGTGTGTCTCTGTCAGTAAATGTGTGTGTCTGTTAGCTAGTGTGCATGCGTCTGTAAGTGTGTGTGTGTGTGTCTTCAGCACTTACCTTTCTCCAGCGCCGGACTCCCTTGGCGCTGGGGATCCCTCAGCCTCTCAGCTCCGAATGCGACCGCGCACGCATTCAAACCACCCATAGGAAAGCATTACTCAATGCTTTTCTATGGACGTTCAGTGTGCTCCTCTAGCGGCTGTCAGTGAGACAGCCACTAGAGGCTGGATTAACCCTCGGTGAAACATAGCAGTTTCTCTGAAACTGCTATGTTTTCAGCTGCAGGGTTAAAACTAGAGGGACCTGACACCCAGACAACTTCATTAAGCTAAAGTGATCTGGGTGTCTGTAGAGGTCCTTTAAGTGTGTGTGCATCTGCATGCACTGGCGTACATACCGGGGTCGCAGCCCTGTAACCCCTGCGACCAGATGCCCACCGCCATGTGTTGCGGCCCGGCCCGCGCGCGGGGGCCTACGGATCAATTTTTGCACCGGGGCCCCATGGGTCATGTGTACGCCACTGAGCGCAGGGTATTCTCTTTCATTGTTCAAACTGAGCTCAACTCCTGATGCATGGTGAAAAGGCCTTCATAAGCCTCTGCTAATGTGTACATAGTTTATACTAAGTGACCCATAGGTTTAGGAGGCGGTGACCGTGGCGGTGGAGGAAGAGGATGGGGTAGCCAACACTGTTTTTTATGTTTTTTTTTAAAAATGTTATTGTGGTAGCCCACAAAATATTGGGACATACAAATAAAGAAACATTTGCGGCCCGTGGTGCATTTCTTGCAGTCCTGATGCATGGAGAAATGCTCAACTCCTGATGCATGGAGAAAAGGCCTTCACAAGCCTCTGCTATTGTGTACCTAGTTTATACTAAGTGACCCACAGGTTGAGGAGGCGGTGGAGGAGGATGAGGTAGCCAACACTGTTTATATATATTTTAATTGGGGTAGCCCCCAAAATATTGGAACATATAATAAAAGACAACTCTGTTCCGCAGAGTAGCTGTTGACATTATAGTTGCGCAGGAACTTTGTTGATTCTAGAGAACCTCGGGCAAATCGCACATCCCCGTAGTGGCGACTTTGCATGCGGATGTCATCCATATCAACTTTCGATGCCAGTTTATGCGCCTACCATGGTGACCACGGGTAACGGGGAATCAGGATTCCATTCCATACAGGGACCCTGAGAAACAGCTACCACATGCAAGGAAGGCAGCAGGCGGGCAAATGACCCACTCCCGACGCGGGAAGGTAGTGACGAAGATAGAGGCCCTGTAATTGTAATGAGTCCACTTGAAATCCTTTAATTCTGATCAATTGGAGGGAAGTCTGGTGCAGAGCCACTGACCCGTGCGTGCTGTAGCTGAAACTCCACTATCGCCTGCTGCTGCTCACAAAGTCTTATGAGGCGGTGAGTGGGAAGGCCGAAGTTACGCTGCAGCGCAGACAGGCGAGCAGCAGCAGGGTGACAACGCCAAAAGCGCGCACAGCCACTACAGTGAATGTCACATCCTGACAGTGTCTGGGTCCTGGTCACCGGACTGCCCCCCTCACTGTGAAACTACGAATGGATAGTTAAATCTGGTACGAACCCGAACTTTGCAGTTCGGGTTCGCTCAAGTGTATTATAGATCCTTTGATCGCTACATGTATTACTTGGATAACTGGTAATTCTTGAGCTAATACATGCCAACGAGCGCTAGGGGATGGCCGCTCCGCTTTGGCACCCTGCTCCCTCTTATTCTGTGCTGGTGCCTCTGTGCCACAGCGCCTCTTCCTCCAAACTGCACACGTCACTCGCATGACCTTGATTCCATGTGGGGTGTAGGGCCTCATCATCCTTTACATCATCTTCCACCCACTCCTCAACACTGCCCTCCTTGCCGGTATGCACACTGCAGAAAGCCACAGGAGTTGGTACCTGTGTTTTTCCAGCATGTAAAGTCTGCAAAGGACATATGGAAAATGTTTTAGAATTTTCTCCAGGCAACAGTTTTCCCTATAAACTGACCTCTCAGTTTGACTTGTGAGGGTATTGCCCCAGAATTACAATATTATTGCAGTACCTCTTAGCTATTGATCACTGGTTTAAATATAGCAGCTTGTTATCTGGTAGTTTCTAGTGTATAAAATATCAATCTGTTTTCTATCACTTAGATCTGTGTAACAAGTGTTGTAGATGTGAAACAATATTACAAGTGACGGATGTAGTAAATTCGAATCAAAGTTACGCTTCAATTTGACTCTCAGATATGAAGTGAACACCCCAAATATACTATTTAGTGCCCCCAAAAAAAAAAGACTTTTTAAAACTCCAATTTAAGCAGTAGATTAGCAGCAAAACAATTAGAATGTTTACAAGTGAGCAGTAAGCACACTATTAGACGCTTCGGATTTGACTCTCAGATATGAAGAACAGGCCCCAAAATGTACTATTTAGCAGGTTAGCAGCAAAACAATTAGAATATTTACAAGTGCGCTGTAAGCGCACTATTAGACGCTTCTATTTGACTCTCAGATATGAAGTGCACCCCACTAATGTACTTTTTAGCACCCCAAAAAATTTAAGTTTTAAAACTGCAATGTGACAGCAGTATTTGACGATTCTATTTGACTCTCAGATATGAAGTGCACCCCACTAATGTACTATTTAGCACCAAAATAAAAATTACGTTTTAAAACTCTGATATAACCGCGGTATTTGAAGCTTCTATTTGACTCTATATGAAGTGTACTCCACCCCACTAATGTACTGGTTTGCAGAATTCTTTCCTAAGCTTTCCCACCTTTTCTCCCTGGAGGGCCAAAGTGACTGGAGCTGCTGCAGGGGCACTGCTGGGCTTTCAGGCAGTTCTCCCTGACCGGGATCGCCACGGATCGCCCGTCCAGGTGAGTACAGGGTGGCAGGACGACTGGAGGACGGTTGGACATACTATGCCGCCCTCCGCTGTTTAGGTTCACCCTTTCAAGGACGGCAGGCTAACTCATGGTTGACATACAAACATACCCCACCACCTTTCCTGTTTTTTTCTAACCCGTCTAAATAGTGTCTAACTATTGAAGTTAACTGCCCAGCCTCCATGTTTCTGTTTTGCCTGTTATGTCATATTGCTTAGTGTATGCTATTGCCTCTAGTTGCCCCATTTTGTTTTTATTGTATTAGTAAGCATACATTTAATAACATGAGTCACTTGTACTTTATGTGAATTTTTATTACTATTACGTACCTCCTCTGATCTTGCCCCTCCCCCCATCTCCACCTCCTTGTACTGAGCTAAAGCCCATCTCCTTTCTGCCCTGTCTCCATTTTGTAGATTACTATGTCCCTCACCTCCACCCCTAAAATCTCCTCCAACCTTCCAGCCATTCTGTCCCCTAGCGCTGCAGACCCTCTCCCGTTTAGGTGCAATCTGTCACAGCGATAAAGGTTGTACCCAAGTGCAAAATTAGCCCAGCGTTAATCCCTGCTCTTTGCCATAATGTTGCAATGTCTGTTTATGTCCAATAAAGATTCCTGAATTGAAGGAGTGCCTTGGCCACCTTTCTCTTTTGACTACATGACATTGAGGGATTGCCATCCCTTGTTTAACAGCACCCTATTACTGTTTATAAGAGTGTGGCTTCCTTTTCTAGTGTGGACTACCTATCACATATTAATAAATTTACAAATCTGTTATATATATTCCATTTCAAATATCTTGTAAACTTTTGGAAGGTAAGCTTACAACTACCAGATTTTAGTATATATGCTATTTTATAGATTTCAGATGCTTTGATCAAGCGGGTGCAAGGATCGCAAGAACAGTGGGTGAAAGGAGCTCTTGAACCAAAAGTGTCCCCTGAATTTGATCTCACTTTGGACAGTGATCCTTTACTGCGAGCTATACACCAGCTGGATTTTATTCAGATGAAATGTAAGGGTGAGCTCATACTTATTTTGCATTCTCTTGTTCTCATGTTAACATTTCATAAATGTAGGTAAAAGAATGAAAAGGTCAAATGCTGGATCGTGATAGAAATGGGCTGGTAGGTAAAATATGTAAATATTAATACAATAAAAACAAGCTCTTATTTAATGTAATATCAAATAAAGGAAGCATTTTTTCTTTGCATTGTTAAAAGTAAAAACATTTCTTGTTTGTTTTTTCATTCAATTGTTTTGCAATATTTTGTGCCTTATGTTTTATTTGGATTTAATTTGTATGTTAAAAATATAATATAATTAAGGAAATAGACGGTGCTATCTTATACTGAATCCAGTGTTGCTTAACATACTAAAGTGAAATGTCACCCCTTACACTTACTAAAACAGAAATATATAGAAATTGGTAAAAGCACACACAGTGGTTATAATTATGAGATGAAATTATATAGATAATTGGCACATGGGGAATATTATGTCTTATAACATAAAGGTAATTGATATGGGTATGCCCCAGACTGGAAACTCATAATTGTCAGAGCCTGCTAGAAATTGGCTCTAAAATGCAAAAGTCACACATAGTGTGTTGGTTGACAAGAGACATGTGTCCAACAAGTTCAGCCTCTCCCTTTTTGCTGTTAATCCCAAAGAAGGCAAACAACGCAGTTGGAAGTACTTCCAATTTTGCAGCAAACTAGGAAAAAATCCCTTCTTGACCTAAGAATGGCAGTCAGATTTGTCTAACTGTAAATGTCTAACCAGGTATGTTCACCCACGCAAGGGACCAATAAAAAATCTTCTAAGAATAATACAACTTGTTAGGAACCAGAATATTATTTGAATAAACCTCTTTAAATAAAATAATGTAAAACAATTAAAACAAAGCTTGGCCCTCAGGGTGCTTTGTCTTAGAATATGGTCATGATAAGAACAGTCAGGTATCCACTGGTGACAGTAAATGATCATTCCCAAGAAGGACAACATTTCCTTCTGGGTGAACTCTGTTATCTGAATAACAGGACTCTGCTGCCCTGGGAGAGGAGGAATCCCAGATATTTGACAGTCTGCAGGCAGAACTGAAGCTTTGTAGGAGAAACTTTGTGACCTGTGTCATGGAGGTGTTGAAGCAGGCTTATGGTGTCTGTGAGACAAGCAGGAGATCATCCACATACTGCAGGAGTATAGTCCCACAGGGAGGAGACCAGGACTCAAGACTTTTACGGACAACTGTGGAATAGGCTGAGGCAGCCTGTTCCACGTATATTGACTCCCTTTATACGTGAAAGCAAACAGCAAACAGCGGTTTGGTGTCAGGGTGTACTGGAATGCTAAAAAAAAAACACTACACAAATCAATCACAGAAAAACATGCAGCATTTGAAGGGATGCTGGTCAGGATAGAGTTAACATCTGGGACTAAAGGGGCTATCGGTTGTACTAAGGCATTAACAGCTCTCAGATCTTGCGTAAATCTGTACTCATTTCTACCTGGTTTGGGTACTGGATTAATTGGTGTATTATAAGATGAAATTGTAGGTTCAATAATACATTTGGCGATTAAGTCACTTATTACAGGATCAATGCCTTGTTCCTTCTCTCTAGAAAAAGGGTATTGCTTAATGTATATTGGATGTGCCTCTGGCTTGAGGGTTGCCTGATAGGGAGTACAATCTATGTACCCAGGGTGTGTAGATGAAGTCGCCCACAAAGTATTAGGGAGGGTAGCCAGGGATGGATGAGGAAGGACAGGTTCTGGGGAAATTTATATTTTTATAAAAATTATCAAAAATTAATTCAATAATTTTTATTATATCAAAAATTGATATCTTGGCACTGTTTCCCGAATAATAAAGCTGAGAATTACTCAAGATTTTTAATTCTCTTAGATCCTAGAGGAAGTTTCACTAGAGGATTTTTACTTCACACAGTAATCACAAATTAATTAGAAACATAGAAACATAGAATGTGACGGCAGATAAGAACCATTCGGCCCATCTATTCTGCCCAATTTTCTAAATACTTTCATTAGTCCCTAGCCTTATCTTATAGTTAGGATAGCCTTATGCCTATCCCACGCATGCTTAAACTCCTTTACTGTGTTAACCTCTACCACTTCAGCTGGAAGGCTATTCCATGCATCCACTACCCTCTCAGTAAAGTAATACTTCCTGATATTATTTTTAAACCTTTGTCCCTCTATTTTAAGACTATGTCCTCTTGTTGTGGTAGTTTTTCTTCTTTTAAATATAGTCTCCTCAGTTACTGTGTTGATTCCCTTTATATATTTAAATGTTTCTATCATAGCTCGTCTTTCCTCCAAGCTATACATGTTAAGAT